GGGGGAATCACCAGGTGACTCTGAGGGTGCTACTGCCTTCCTGGAGGTGACAGAAAGCACAAGACACAGACAGGCAGGAAGGTCGGGGAGTGGCCAACCATCTCCCCGTGGGTCTATCTGTGCCTTGCCTGGGGATTGCACTGAAAATGCTTTTCAGGGTCAGAAACTCAGAATGGAGATATATAATATTGGGAGTGGGGGACTGGAAGGAAATCCCTAAATGGACATATTCACCAGTCAAGCATGAATCGCAGTTTGGAAAAGAGAACTAGACACACATACATGATGAAAAGCAAAAATCAGAACATCATCCTCAGAAAATGCATCCAGACCCAGAAGATCTGCTCCAGTTGAGCCAGTCAGAAGGCCAGCACTGATGTACTCACCACAGATGTCTCTGTAGACAGTATTAGAATTCAGCAATAAGGCTCCTTGACTTGTGAGTAATAAATAAATGCCTATAGAGAACCCTCCTCCCCCTAAGGGACTATTTACTTTTACTCTGAAGCTGCTATTCAAAAACCTTGGCTCCTGTGGCAGAGGCCTAAATCCCAGGGGAGAAATGACTGAGAATCTAGGTACCTTAGCATGCACTTTGAACTTCATCCTTCTATCAAGTGGTAACAGCTAAGTAGAGAGAGCCAGGACTGAGTGGGATGAGGTTGCTTATAGTAAGAAAATAGTTGACATTTATATGCATTTAGGATCCCTCTGTGTGCACTCCCTGGAAGCCACCATTATAATCCAAATGGCCTCTTAAAATAAACAAACTCATGGAAACACTGCAGCCAGCCCTGTGTGACTTGAGCCTTAGAGGCAATAATGTTTCCTCACTGTGTAATTACCTGGAGAAGGGAGCAACCAAGGCCGTTCAGGAATTCACCCACCATCTGTTCCCCTCACAGAGGGGAGCCCGTTGGCTCTTATTCATGCGTATAGCTGGGAAAGAAGGGCAAGTGGTTGTACCCTGACTGCACCCTGATGGGTGAGAACTGGCTCCTGCAGCTCCCTGGGTGATTCTCATTCAAGAGCTGCACTGGCAGAAGCTTTCTGCTCCTTCCCCGGGGCTACAATACTCCACACCAACTTGCCCCATCCTCAGGGGTTCTCGTATCCTTTTTGTATATAAGGATAGAATTCTGGGGGAGCTGTTTCTGTTTACCTGTCTCCCAGAATCTCACACCACAGAAGAACCTGGGTATTAATCCAATAGCCATTCATCCTACCATTTCCTTTGGGCCCAGTGAAGCCCTGCCCGGCATTCCATTGTGGTAAAGGTTGAAAACCATATATTAGAAAACAGAGGACCAGCTGGGGTTATAGCTCAGTGGTGGAACTTGTGCTTAGAATGTGCAAGGCTCTGGGTCCAATCCTCAGCACCAAAAAGAGAAGCAGGGGCAAGGCATGGGAAGGGAAGGGAAGATAGGCAGTTCCATATAATGTCCCAAACATCTCTGACTTCTCATTGCTTCATTTTTCATACACGTATCACCATTTAACAAATATTTATTGAGTACCGACTATGTTCCAGAAACAGAAATAGACATCGTAGATTCAGTAGTGTCCAAGACTTAGTCCATTAGAGTTGCTATAGCAAAATACCTCAGCCTGGGTAATCTATAAACAACAGGAATGTATTGCTCTATCCTCTGGAGGCTGAGAAGTCCAAAAATCAAGGCACCAACAGATGCAGTGTTAAGCAAGGGCCAGTTCCTCACAGATGCTAGCTTCTTCATGACTTTGTGTAGCAAAAGAAAAAAAAAAAAGCCTCCCTCAGGTATCTGTTATCAGAACAATAATTTCATTCATGAGGGTTCCACCCTCACCACCTAATCACCTCTCAGAGTTCCCCGCCTCCTAACACTATCACATTAGGGGTTTGATTTCAACATATGAATTTGGGAGTGGATATTTAGACCCTAGCACAGATGATATAAACTCTTGCCTCCATGGAATTTACTGTTTGATGGGGAGCAGGGAGAGATAGAAACAGAAAAACAAGTGAAAGAATCACAGTTTATAGTAAAGGCTATGAAAGACACAGACAGGGGACTGAGCTCAAGAAGAGCAGGAAACATGGCAGGGGCTGGCCCTCTCAAGAGCCTGACAGGACTTGAAATATGAGGAGGAGTGTCCTCACTGGGCAAAATGGCCAGGGAGAGTGATTCTAGGCAGAGGGAGCAGCGTGTGTTTAGAAGTCTGAGGTGGAAGAATCAGGGTGTATCTGTAAACCGAAAAGTGTCCAGGGATGCTGCTGCAGTCCTGGGGAGAAAGGAAAGAAGGAAGAGAGGACTCAGCCCATGGCTGGGAGCCTCAGAGTAGGGTTTGGATTTCATCCCAAGTACAGTGGATAGCAATAGAAAGATTTTTTTTCAGAGAATGACCAAAATGCAATTTCACTCTGAGATGGTGTGGGCCCAGAGGCATAGCCCTTCCCTTATCCTGGGGGTCCGAGGTCATAGGTCGCATGGGGGTACTTTCTATGTTGCTCAGTTTAGTTGTACTCAACCCTGTCATTTAAGATCTCAATGCCACTGACACTTCTAAATATTTTTAAAAATATTTATAAGTGGTCAACTCAGGGGTAATTCTGAGCTACTCTGCATAAATTCATCCTAAGTTTTTTTCACACACCCCTTATGCATAGATGCTGATTAGATGGTTCAAGGACCTCTCCAAGTGCCACCAACCATGGGCCATGTCCACTTACATCACTTCCCTCCTGCACCTTCAGAGCAGACTCCCTGAATCCTACTTAAGAACATGGAGAA